GCTTTCCTATAAATCATTTTCCTTAATTTTCAAACTTGATTTCAGTAGAATTTCATAGAATCATAAGACCATCATCTCTATATAATCCTATACTATCAACATTAACATCCTCTTAAGCACTAAGATTATATAAGATAAATAAACCCAGCAGCTAAGAAGACTGTGCAGAATCTAATGATTCCATAGAAATATCAAAGTCATCATCACTGTTTTTAATAATAATTAAGGAGCGGGAAAATACAAGAGTAATCAGGAAGACAGTAGATAACGATTGGCATTGCATTTAAATTTGATTTCTATTTATTTCACCTGATGCAAGGTAGTAAAGCCACCTTTTACTAAGTGCGAAAGAATAAAAAAAAGTGAAGCATTGTCAAGCAGTAGTGAGAACAATAGAAGCGTAATCAGGAACGCTGTAGATAACGATTGACATTGCATTCTCAGTTCACTGGAAAGTATGGAGCCAAAAGAGACTTCCATAAATGTGAAGATAGAGAAAAAAAAACTATTAGTATAGACCTTACGGTTGCATCTCGCCAATCCAGCTGTAAATTGACTGGGACATTGTTGACAATCTAATACTGCACTTACCTTCATAAAGTCTAGGTACAATAGCAAAGAATATATCCGAAAAATTACCATGGAAGTTTTTATAGAAAAGGCACAGGAAAACTACATTAAGACGGTGGGAAAGTGTTATATACCGTACCTATGAACACTAATGGATATATGTCATTACTCATAAATACGTTGAACACTATTCTAAGTGGGAATAAAATGCTGTCTAAGTAGTCCAGCACAAGCGGTGGTTTACCTACTTTACGCCGCTGGCGAGTATTGTATTTTGTTGATGTTATAAAGTTTACCATTTTATTTCCAACCTCCGTTTTGTCCTCATAAAGTTACCTTTTCTAGGTTACAACAGAAAGTGACTTTGAAGCCGACACGCCAGGTGAGGACCAATGATATTGCTGATTCCTCTTTGGATTTTTTCAAGAATACCTCAATATATAGCAGAAGCACCAGACCATATGTGGAAGAAACATTCTAAGCATGGACGAACGGTAGAATTATAAATTTGTAAAATTTTCTCTGGAGAAAAAAGAAGTCTCTTACACGACACAGTGAACCAATTTTATTTACTGTTGACTCAGCAATGGATTCAATATGGTCTTTCCACTTCATCTCAGACGAGAATGGTTGCCCGAGACAGGTTGACCGAGAAGGCGCAACGAATCGCTCTCCAGGAGGTTAGCATCAGCCATGCTGACATAAAGCAGAAAGAGGTCTCTCAGATGATCAATAGAGAGCAGTTTCATTTTGGAGGCGTTAAAATTAACAACTCATTCCCTGTCCCACTTAACAACAGACTATAGGGTATCTTTTTTAGATCAGCTGCAAAGAACCTTAAAAATATATAGATAAAGTGATATTTAAAAATACAAAATCATACATAGAATTAAAAATTAATAATTCCAAAAGCAACGTATATTTAAAAATAAGATATTATTAAATAAGTTATATTTAAAAAAATAAGTCATATTTAAATAATTTCTATTTAAAAACAAGTAAAATTTAAAAATTTGTTTTAAAAAGTTATATTTAATAAAAATCAACAGAAACATTGAAATGAATATGAAATAAACATGAAACATTGAAATTCATAAATTCTCTATTAGTTTTTTGATGGTGTCTTTTTTTTTGCTTTCAAAGTTAAATTTCTATTTCCGACAAGAACTCAGCCTATACCAGGGTTGAGTATGACTGACGAATATTCATGACGATTGAAATAAGCTTATTTTCCATATGAGGTGATTTGGGATTTTATTGTATATATATATATATATATATATATATATATATATATATATGTATGTATATTGATAATATTAGTGGTCAATATATATATATATATATATATATATATATATATATATTCCCAAGAGGATAGAATCCAGGTAGAACGCGATGTCCAGAACAGAGAAAGAATATAATATAATAGGTTCAAACACTAATATTCTATGGTCATAATTTATTACATTGGAATCGTAATCACGATCGAATTCATAGACCTACAAATAGAGACTTATATCCAGGTAAATTTAGAACAAATGGAGTATGATTCCGCTGTACGTAACATTTAATTTAAAAGAGGTTTCTATACATAGTAGAGCTAAATATTATTTATTTTAGGATAATAAAAATGTTAAAATCGCTACACAATTGCAATTATGTTTCGACATCATAAATGTGTCTCTTCATACGATGTTAAACCTCTGGCGAGTGAAAGATTAATTTAATTACTTAATTAAAAAATAGGCTTGTATGTTATGCCGGGATTAACCAATTGAATGTAACTTACACTAAATTCAAATTCACCGGAAAAAAAGAATATATGCCATGACACGAAATTGTCTGCATTATGTCGTATAGGAATAAAATGTCTCTGCCTATACTTGGGTTTGAACACGGATCGACAAGCACAGTCGACCTCATCTTGAAATAATTAAAACACATGACGGGTAATGGAAAATATACATATGGGAATTATTGTTCGAAAGCATCACTATTATTGTATCTGTGATTTACAAAGTCTCTTCTAAAACGGGCATAAAAACATATCTAGACAATTTCTTTATGGGTAGATACAGGTTGTTACATTATTTCGTAAAATATATCGAAATCTGACGCTCAAACTTCCCAAGATGCTAAAACGAAAGAGATGTTGTGGTAATTTAACATAATACAAGCCAGTCATATACTTGTTCAGCTTCTCACATAAACATTTTTAGTTGCTAAATAAAAACCCTTTTAAAAACTGGCCAGCAATTTAACAGGTCGAAAAAAAAAAGACAAAAAACTAAAAACAAAAAACAAAAGCAAATCCGGATCAAAAATACAGAACTACTTTGGAAAATTAATGTTCAACCGTTTAATAAAGAACATCCATATGGGATGTTAATAACAGCAACTAGTCAATATAAGATGTTAATAATACCAACCAAGCACCTGTACATCCATATAAGATGTTAATAATACTAACCAAACATCAATAAAAAACAATATTAAATCAAAATGAATCATACAAATATAATAGTAAATTATATAAGTTGCACAACAGTTCATCTTCATTTACTATAAGAAAAAGTATTATCAAATTCAAAGTTTAACCATATTGTAAGGTAAAAGTAGGCTATGCCTACAATTTACGGTCAATTTACTTCTTCAGTTTGAGAAGGATTTTCATCTGATAAATTTTAATTTTTCATGTAAGCATAGAAACGGTTCATTTAATGATCTACATGTTCTAGGTTTTTTTTTTAAAATTACCCATTTTACCTTTGGAGTTTTATTAGCTTCATTTAAATTCTAAAAATATTCAGAAAGAGATATACTATGTTTATAAGTACTATTAGTGAAGTATAAGACATGTTGATACCACATAGTCTTAAAATAATTCCTAGTACTATCAATATAAAATTTTACAACAATCGGATTCTTCTATTGTAGGAAAAGTACTTAGACAAACAAGATACATAGCGAGACAGTAGACGTATATTTGGCAGATCGCACACAAAACACGAACTTTTTTCTGGGGTACCTGATTATCTCGTTCACTACAGTTGGTTAAACATTGGTTTCGTAATGGGCATTCGTTAGAATCCTTGCGATTACATTGGTTAATATTATTAACAGCATCTATCTTGGGATGCATATTATTATCCAAATTTTTAAATTAGTTTAAAATATTATTATTATGCTTCTTTATAATCTTCTCAAGATTATAAGTGCAGTTATAACTTAGTTTTAAGGTGTTTGTGTTAAATATTTTACTAAGATGGTTACTTTTAAGGAAATGTTTGTCAATTAAATGTAGAAACTTCTGACCTAACTTTGTTTTAATTAACTGTTTAAATGGGAGTGATTACAGATGGAGAGTCGTTAGAATTGTAATGAATATATATTGTGTTAGCAAAGTTTTTACATTTAAGGTTGAAATACATCATTAAGAAGATCTAATGTAAAGTAATTAACTTAACCTTAAGATTTAAGCTTGTTAATTCCCTATGAATCATTTTCCTTAATTTTTCAACATTGATTTTAGTAGAATTTCTTACTATCATAGGGCCATCATCTCTGTATAATCCTATACTATCAACATTAACATCCTCTTCAGCGCTAACATTATACTGGATAAATAAACTCAGCAGGTCAGAAGACTGTGCAGAATCTAATGATCCCACAGAAATATCAAAGTGATCATCAGTGTTTTTAATCCACTGTTCATTGTTGTTAATGAGAACAGATCTTCCATAGTTCATCATTATATTTATATCTTCGCTGGAAATGTTAGAGTATTCCTTTGCAAATTCCAGAGCTACGGCAAAAAGATCCTTGGAAATTAAGGGGTAAAAATTCACGATATCAAATTGGATAAAAGAGCACCTTTTTGTTGTTAATTCTCTTAAACAAATTAATGACATCAGCGGTACTAGTCCATTGTAAAGGTCTTAGGCGCCGTTTAATTTGATTATTGTCTCTATCTATTAACTTTGCTTATCTTTCCGATTTTTGTTCTGGTCGGGTTGAAAATCATCGTCGGTAGTTTGATTTTAAAGTCTGGTATATGATCTTCAATTAGGACATACAATTCTTTGGTACATAGCATAATATTGCTATTTTAAGTTTATCAGTGATGTTTTTACAGGGAGTGTTAATTCTATCATCTAAATTAGTTGTGTTAATATTCAACTTCTTATAATTTTTGGTTAAATCTTTTTTAATTAAATCTAACAATTAATTAAATGCTAACACAATACTGTTGAAGAGTTTGAGCGTGTTATCTTTTTCCCTTCTGGATAGTGCAATAGAAATCTGATCCCAAGTGTGAAAATGGAGTCACTAACAAGACGATGCACCTCTTGCGTACAAACAGGACCAAGGTTTGCATTCTTTCGTTGTTCTACAATGCAATTTATGCTGAAGTCATTTGCTCCAGATTAGAGGTTGACTTGCCCTATTTTACATGCGCAATATTTCTTAATATACAAATAGATACTAACAGACGAATATAGATAGATAGATAATGAACAGGTTTCGATAGATATGAACAGACTAAGATAGATAGATAGATAGATAGATAGATAGATAGATAGATAGATAATGAACAGGTTGCGATAGATATGAACAGGATAGATAGATAATGAACAGGTTGCGATAGATATGATAAGATAGATAGATAGATAGATAGATAGATAGAGATAGATGATAGATAGATGATAATGAACAGGTTGCGATAGATATGAACAGGCTAAGATAGATAGATAGATAGATAGATAGATAGATAGATAAGATAGATAGATAGATAGATAGATAGATAATGAACAGGTTGCGATAGATATGAACAGACTAAGATAGATAGATAGATAGATAGATAGATAGATAGATAGATAGATAGATAGATAGATAATGAACAGGTTGCGATAGATATGAACAGGCTAAGATAGATAGATAGATAGATAGATAGATAGATAGATAGATAATGAACAGGTTGCGATAGATATGAACAGACTAAGATAGATAGATAGATAGATAGATAGATAGATAGATAGATAGATAGATAGATAATGAACAGGTTGCGATAGATATGAACAGGCTAAGATAGATAGATAGATAATGAACAGTTTGCGATAGATATGAACAGGCGAAGATGGATAGATAGATAGATAGATATGAACCGACTAAAATAAAAACTGAAATTAGTCTTTTATTAGTAACAAAAGGTCAGTGATAAAGTCTATAATGTCTACATTTTTCTTTTTGTGAATTTAATCAGGCAAAACGAATAGAATCAGCATCACAAGAGATACCAGCACCTGAAGAACTACATTTTTATCCGATAGATAGATAGATAGATATGAACGGAACGAGATAGATAGAGATAGATAGATAGATAGATAGATGTACTACTTATATCGCTGCTCTTTATCTTTGGGATTAAATTTATAAAAAAATTAGCAATTTTCTTCAGATTTAACAGAGATTTTGTTCGATCCATTAATATATTTAACAACAGAATCTAAATGCCTCTGAAAATGATACGTATTTTTATGAAAAGAGATAACATTAATATTGCTTAGTAGATCATTTTCAACGCAGTGTAAGCATTCAATGTGGGGGGCGGTTTTCAAACTTTTCAAATCATAACGATCTGATATATTTGAAACATCTCGATCAAGAAAGAAGAAGTGAGTCTTCTATATCATTCTTTTAATCAGATTTTCAGTCTTCAAACGGAGTTTTTTTTTTAGTTTCCTATTTGCTTGTATTGGAAATGTTTTTTTTTAGCGAAATACCGCCATGAGTTTTTTCCATGTCTGAGAATTAAATAAATGTAAAAAGTGCTCCACCGTGAAGCACAACTTTAGCTTAAGGTTTGAAGCGCTGTATCTTAAAAATGATTAAAGATATCTTACTGGATTTCTCCGAGGTTTGTATAACACTATTAGACTCTAATTGGAACAATAGGAATGTTTTTTGATCTAAGTTAAAATGATGATCCCTCTTGCTGTTGTGACCTCCTGATCCACATTCCCTCTCTACTGATCCCTTCTTTTAAAAATTATTCACCGTTATCTTGATGGTCCTTGAAATGAATGTGAAGCATGAAGCCACTTTATGAATGTTAGTATCATTACTGAAAACCTGAGTGATCTTTTCCTCTAACCATTGCTCAATTGTGAAGACATAGTAGGGCTGACGCAAAATTATTTTAAACTGTTCTCTTTCGAGATGAATAACCCAAAAGATTTTTCAGTGATTCTTAGAACAAATGGTGTCAAGATGGCGAAACGTCTTATCTGAAAACTTGGCAAAATGAAACTCAATTTGTTTAGTAGTTTTTAGCTATTAAACATTTTGTGGGATGGACAATTACCCCATACTATTACACGATTTAGACAATTTCTGTATAGTTATTACTTCAAACGCTATAATAGTCGATACTCATATTTGAAATAGACGCCTCTTTTTAATTATACTTTAAATAGTGTATATTACGTCTATCGTCCTGCGTATTTAAGAAATTTTAATACAGAAGATGTATTCTCCGGCAGTAATCGACACACTCTTTTGAAGTAAAATAGAAGTGAGGCGTCTACTTCAAATAGGAGTATCCATTAAATAATAACGTTTGAAGTAAACAATCGGATTAAAAATAAATCCATTATTTCTTTTACATACACACACACACACACACACATATATATATATATATATATATATATATATATATATATATATATATATATATATCGCCGCATAGCAAACTTCGATGTAAATTAAACAGTATGTCATCTTTGACGGTGTACATCTCTGTTGTAATGGCCATACAACCATTCTGATGATGGCTCATGTAAGTCGAAAACTTAGATCGAAAACAAATAAAATAAAAAAATATCCAAATGTTGGAAAGTTATTGTTTTTATTTTCTCTTGAAAC